CCTACAATGACCTGCCAAAAATTGACAAGTATGCACTTTTCCAACTGGAGACTGTCATGGCTTCCATGAAGGATAGTTATGAAAGTTACCAATTCTATAAAGTATATCAGGTATGTCTACATTTTTGTTTGTCTGTGCCAATTTCACATATTTGACTTATTCTTCCTTCTACTTTTCCTTTCTTTGAACTTTACATTGTAGCAGTATGTGTACATGTGCATTCTCATGCATGCAGTCTGTGTTTGGGATAGGGTTTCATTGGGTTTATTTTAGGCGGGCTTCTGGTAAACAGAAAGTATGCTTGTTGATCACATAGTTTTTTCTTGAAAGTGGCAGTATGTTGTTCAATAAACTCCTGGCCTTTTGAATCTGTGGGTTTCTGTAGCTTTCTTAACTTTCTAGTCATAAGCACATGACATGATTGTGCTATGTTGTGTGTTTGATGGTACTGACTTAATATACTCCTAATTCCTCTGTTACTTGCTCAGGATGCTCTAATTTACATATGTTTTATGCTTTTACATAACTGACTTCTTATCCTCCATGTCTCAGATGCTTCAAAGATTTGCTACTGTTGGTTTGTCCAATTTCTATTTGGATGTTGCAAAGGATCGGCTTTATGTTGGGTATGGCTTTTTTCTCTCATACGGAGTATTCCTGATTTTATTCTATTAGATCAAAATCTTAGTTATTGTCGTTTTAAAATATGGATTCAGAATTTTGATGATTCAATTTCTGTCCTATCAGAGGCAGAGTTAGCTTCACAAGGAAAAGCTGTCAGACTGTCCTCATGGCACATCTGCTCTACCTTGTTAGGGCCATTTCCCCGATTATGCCTCACCTAGCTGAGGATGTCTGGCAGAACCTACCCTTTCAATACACCTTGCAGGATGGATCCCTTACAAACTTTGTTTTGACCTGAAATGGCCAGAAAAGAATGAAGAATGGCTCTCATCCCCGAAGGATGATGTTGATTTCCTGGGTGTTATCCTGGAGGTACTCAAGTTTTTGCATCAAGTTTTTTCCCTCAAAAAATGGAAAGAAAGAAGTGGCTCTATTGTCTTTCCACAAATATGGTTCATTCTATATATAAGGCTTCATATTCTATAGCATTAGAAATCTGTACTTCCTACAGGTTAAACAAACAGGCAAAACTAGTCATGTCAGAAATCTGCATTCAACTTTGAACATTTAACTTAGGCAAAAAAAAAAATTGACTTGACCATAATAAACCTCTTGTGATGTGAAATGTCAGCATTTCTACTAAATTTGCTGATCATACACTAGGTGTGTTGTCCAATCTTGAATTCATGATAACTCCTTTTATTGGTATATTTTAGTTGTGCACTTGGTTTTTATCTTCAAAATTGATTCTTTATTATGTAAATTGTAAAATTATGTTGGTATATGCAGCTGAGGTCAGAGGTTAACAAAATTTTGGAGAATGCTCGCACTGGAAAGTTGATTGGTTCTCGAGCTTAGATCAAAGGTTTATCTCCATACCGAAAGTTCAGATACAGTATTAAAGCTGAAGGAGCTATCTTCTGCATCTAATGGCGCAGATGATCTGCATCGCCTCTTCATTACATCTCAGGTCAGACATGCTTTTCAAAACGACCATCTTGCACTATCTACACATAATATGCTTAACGTTTTCTTCATTTTCTGCAGGTGGATGTTCTTCCAATCCTAAATGAAGAAATTACATCATCTGTACCATACACAGGAAAGTTCAGTAACCCACGCACTGGAGACATATGGATTGGTGTGACTCGTGCGGATGGTGCAAAGTGTGAGAGGTGTTGGAATTACACCCAAGACGTTGGATCTTTCCATGACCATCCTACTCTTTGCGGTCGGTGTTATGGTGTCATTGATTTGCAGCCACAACCTGCTGCCGCAGCTGTCAGTTGAAAGGAGTGATGTCAACATACCCTATTGAGCCGTCTCTTTTCAGAGGATCATTTGGTGGAATTCATTCTTTTGGAGAGAGCTTAAACGCTACCATGCACTTGGGGGCAAAAGACGTATAGGTGTGGCAAGTAGCCTGGAACTCCAGAGTTTTGCATGCAGCAAGTTGTACTTTAGATTGTTGAACTAATACATAGGTCACTCTGCGGTCAGCTTGGGAAACCGCTTTTCCATACTACTTGGGGAGGGCGCTTGTTTGGAACAATTTTGTACACAAAACTCCTGGCCTGTAAATCAATTTTGGAAAACCGTATCAGGGGGCGAATCCATGTACTAATGTAGTAACAACAATGTTACTCATGCAAATCCCAAGATATGATGACAAAACCAACATTGTGATCTCTCCTTTACATTCTGTGTTGAAAAAACAGCTCGAACCACTTGCTTGTGCTCACCTGTTTTCTTTCATGATCGTCATGAAGCAAAGCATTTGCTTATCCCATCAATTCTGGCAGAGCTGGCAATGTACTTGTGAAGGAAATTTCTTGCTGATTGTTTAAGGGCCTATTTGGAACACAGGAATTTCACGAGACTAGGAAGTTTACCACGTTGAGGATCAGCTTATATATGCCATGTTGCCCTTTTACACCAAGAGTAAATGGTAATGCTCCAATTAAGACGTCTGGAACGGACGGATGCTTCCTCCCGCTTCGCTCTGCACCCAGTCCTCGCTTTCTCCCTCCACTCACCCTCACGCCCACTCCCCGACGCAAGTGCGGCCATGGCTGCCTCCCTAGCTTGGCCACAAGCCTCCTCCGCCTCAGTCCTCCTCTCCCACCCCAGTGGCCTCCTCCCCCACCACAGCGGCACCCTTCCCCTCACCTTGGATATAAATGTCCATGCGGCCCGAGGCACGGCGGCCTGACACAAAGCCCGTAATTTTGGCCCGGCCCAAGCATGACACGGCCCGATGATCAGCTGGCCCGACCCGAGGGAGCAGGCCGTGCCTAGGCTGCTGCTCAGGCCCGTGGGCTGGCATGGCCCGGCCCGACCTTCAACAGTCGGCCAGGCCTCCCCCGCCTGGGCCCCCACTCCACCTCCTCCCCAAGGCCCAACATGCTCGGCAACTGCCCTGCCCTACCCTCATATATAAGCGGCAGCATGGCGCCTCCTCTCCTCATCCCGAACCCTAGTTCATTTCACCGTGACCCCGTGGCGCCCGCTCCTGCCTCGCCTCGCCTCGCCCCTTGACTCGGTGAGATGACCTCGACGATCCTTCTTTGTCGACGAGCAGCCCTACTCCTCCTACCTAATCCCTCCATCTCCTCCTCTTCCTTCTCCCTGTCCCTATCTCCCCTCTAGATCTCGGTGATTATGTGAGTTCGTGTCCCCGTCTGTCCCTCCTCCCCCAGTCGTCGTCCTTCTAACCGATGTGACCTCTTCTCTAGGTGGCCCTCGTCTTCTCTCCCAAGACTGCTCCGCTTCAGCAGTACAACCCTAACCCTAACCCTCCTCTTCTTCCATTGATGATTGATATATTCTCGATCTATTCTTTTCCTCCTCCTCCTCCATCTCTTTGCATAGGTTTCAGTGGTGATCGTCGTCCTCTAGCTATGGCATAGAGTGACCAAAACAGATCCAGCACTTACCGTTGAGGAAGATCTTTGGAGAACCCTCCATGATCGAGGGCGCCATGGTCAGTCTTGATGATGAGATTGTTTGGTAGCTCACCGACAGCGACGATCTCGATCGCGGCAGGCCTGGCCCCTGAGGATGACGATGACACTCGTGAGGACACTGGTGCCTTGTTCGGTATCGATGCTAGTAGCGGCTCTACTGCTCCGATCAATCTGGACGGCGGCGGTGGTGAAGGGCGACAATGATTGGGACCTCGATGCTGCTCGGCTCAACTCCATCTCATTCTTTGATACTGGTACCTCTTCTGGACCTGGTGTTGGTAAGCTTAAATCTGCTGTGTGGGCTGATTTTGATGAGATCTATGAGACCGTGAATGGTAGAAAAATCTGCACTAAAGCTACCTGTAAAATATGTAAGCATACTTTGTCTGCTAGATCTAATGCTAGCACTGGGCGCTTGAACATGCACTAGAAATCTTGTAGGCAGAAAACTAATCAAGCTGCTAGGGTTCAGTTTAGGCTTGCTTATAATCCTGATGGTTCTGTGCATAACTGGGACTATAAACCTGATGTGGCTAGATCTGAATTGTGTTACTTGATTGCTAGGCTTGATTTGCCGTTAGGTATTGGTGAGACAAAGGCCTAGGAGGATTATATTGTTCGTGCTCATAACTCTAGGTTTGTTAAAGTATCTAGACAGACCACCACTAGGCACAATGACATTGCTGTTGTATATCCTACGAAGCTTAAATTTCTTAAATACTTTGGCAAGATATACCTCTGTTATATTCATTTGCATTTATTCTTGATCCTAGAGTTAAGATGAGAGGTTTATTTAGAGTCCTAGAATTACTTAAAGAGAGCATTGGTTGTGATTATACTTCATATTATGCTGATGTGAAAACTAAAATTTACTAGTTATTTAACAAATATGAGAGAAAGTTTGGTGTAGTTAGGACTCAAAGAGCTGCATAGCCTGCAAGCCACACAGGTAAGAAAAAACAGACATGGGGAAGGATCTTTGGAGGCTCTAGATCTGTTGTTGGTCCTTCCTCTGCCCCCCACTTTATCTTCATATGGTTCTACTGTTAGTGAGCTTTCAGTTTATCTGGACAGTGACAATGTCACTGCATATGAGGATGATTTTGATTTACTTCTCTGGTGGCGTGACCACAAACTAACATATCCAATCCTATCTATAATGGCTAGATATATTATGTTTGTTCTTGTTTCTATTTTCTCTTTGGAATCATGTTTCAGCTTGATAGGAAGGATAATTGAAGAGCGACGATGTCGCTATGTTACTGGCTGTGGAGATCTTTGGCTGCATAAAGGATTGGGAGTTGAGAGAAAGAAGATCACAATATCTTTGTTGACAACCAAGAGTGGAGGACTCCTTCAAAATCATACCTTGATGAAGATGAAGATGGGGCTGCTGGTACTAATGGTTCATCTGAGGCTTGAAACATCTAGGGCTGCTGGTAATTAGTGTTGAGAGTAAGGTCGTGTCTATACCCAACTAAGCCCATGGCATTGGGACCCGTTAGATGTTTGACTACGATTTATTTTGTTTACGGGTCCATTGAACCTATATTATGTTACGGTTACTTCTAATTGTGGCATGTCTTCATTGTCCACGCTTATCGAGACTACTAGATCCGAGACTTATCTCGATGTAATAAATATGTTACTAGCCTCCTGGGGGGTTTGGTATTGTATCACATTTGAGTTCTGGATGACCGAGGGGGCGCTTCAGTCGAAAAAATTCTATTCGTAAAAATCACTCGCTCAAAAAATATTTTCAAACTCTATTTTAAAAACTAAAATCATTTGAGCTCTATTTAAATCCCCTTCCTTCGGATCACAACAATAATATCTCTAGTCCGTCCCCACCTCTATCTCGACGCGCCTCCACTCACCCTCGCCCGGCAAATACCAAGACGTGTTTGGCCCCATCGCCGCCAAGAGTGCATCCGCGCCAAGCCCCTCGCCGACCTCACTGCTCGCAAAGACACCACGCCATGTGGGCCTCACCTTTAAAAATGGCAATGGGGACCCGATCCCCGATTCCCCATGATGAATTCTTCCATTAGGGGCCGGGGATGGAGGAGAATTAATCCCCATGGGAAAGGATTTGGTAGGAAGGCTGTCCCCCTTGGGGATGGTGGGGACGGGGATGGTTGCTTGGTCCCCGACCCCGATCCCCGCCAACCCGCCCATGAAACGCAGCGAGCAACCTAGGTGCCAAATGTAAAGGCCCAATAAGTCATGGAGGTATATAACGCGCCATCCAACCCTAATTCCTCAATCCCCATCCGGTCACTCTCGTCCTCCACCACCTGGCCTGCACTGGGCAGCCGCCGCTCTCTCACTCTCGCTCTCGCACGCTCGCCTCCAGTCGCAGCCGCCGCAATTTCTCCGTCGGCCGCAAATCCGAAATGTTTAAGAGCGAGAGAGAAAACAGAGGGGGAGGAAATAGAGCAAACACCGACGGAGAGATGAGAGACGAGGAGAGGAGTGGAGGAGCCAGTGGCCAAACCTGCGGCGACCTCAAAGCCTGCGAAGAAGAGGGCGGAGGAGGGGAAGAGGGCCGAGCAGGTGCGCGGCGAGGTGGAGAGCAATACGCGGGGCGCCGTCGGCAGCGGCCTCGGCTGGGCCGGCCGTGCGGCGGCGCTACGACCTGTGTCCTCGGGGAGGAGCAGAGCTGAGGGAGAACGGGGGAGCAGAGCGGTGGGCGGCGGTGAGTGCGGAATAGAGAGGGAGAAGGGGAAGCAGAGAGAGAGAGGGAGCTCGGCGGCGCTCTATGGAGGTGGAGCAGAGGAGGAGAGGAGAGGGCGGAGCAGAGGGAGAGCACGGGCGACGGCGGCAGCCTTTTGGCTCCGAAGTGAGGCGGCGAGCTCGGCCATGGCGGCTTCGGCGTGTTGATGCGTGGATGGGGAGAGCCCCACCTCCTCTCCTTTCTCCTCCACTAGCGCAGCAAGCACAAAGACACAACAAACACACGCGTAGCCCACAAGCAGAGCAAGCTAGCTACGCACACTCCTGGTAGCATTTATCACGCACGTCGCCCTGCTCCACCCACGTCGCTGCAGCCGTCCTTGCCAACCTTGTCCGCCTCCTCGCGCGCGCCGTCAATGCGGGTGTCGCCTCAGCGTCGACCAGCTGCTGCACCACGCATGCCGGTCGCCCCTCCACGTACCAGCTCTGCTATGGCCATGCCGGGGTGCTAAGCTAGCCGGCCAGCCAAGCTTCGCCTCGGGCTACGTATAGAAGGGCGCTCCTCTCGCCTCTCCTTGTAGCCACACTGAGCCGTCCTGCCCCGTAGCTCCACGCTCACATTCTTCCCCTGCTCGAGTGTGCTCCACCCCTGTTCTTGTGCGGAGACGACCACCATCGTTGATCTCCCGCGTCTGGCCGTTGCAGCTCGATTGCTTTGGTGGTGAGCACCTCTAGACCCTCCTCCACCTTCCCCAAGTCACGCCTCTCCCTCTCCTTCCCTGTGCCGAGCCCCTGAGGTCCCTCTGTTCCTCGCAAGAACCCACCTCGCCCTCATCGATCTCCCCCTCCATGGCGCAATAGCTCGAGGTGAGCGGTCCATGACCTTCCCCTCGCCCTCCTCTCTCTCCCCATGCTCTCGGTTCCAGAAATAGAGGTCATGAGCTCTGCAAATAAAACCAAGCCTTATCCTTGATATATACATATGCATGTACTGTTATCCCCTTCCGTAGGGTAAGGTTGGACTTGTTGAGTACTTTGTACTCACCCTTCTTTGTTGAACAGAGGAAGATCCGAGCTTCAACCCCGAAGCTGCGTTCGAGTAAGGTCATGTCTACACCCAACTAAGCCCATGGCATTATGACCCGTCAGATGTTTGACTATGATTTCTTTTATTTCTGGGTCTGTTGAACCTATATTATGTTCTGGTTACTCTCTAATCGTGGCATGTCTTCATTGCCCACGCTTGTCGAGACTACTAGACTCCTGGATAAATGTGTTATTATGTTCTGAGACTTATATGATGTAATAAATGTGTTACTAGCCTCCTGGACTGGTATTATATCACATTTGAGTTCTTAGATGACCAGGGGCGCTTCAGGAGAGAGTGTTCTGTTAATCTGTTATCTCTATTTTGTATCTGTCATCTGTGACTGTGACTTGAGATCTTTGAACAATGATAGAAGACTTAATTAAAAGCTGTGCTGCACTCTTTTTCTCTTTCTAGGGTTTCTCACAAAGGTGAGTTTTATCTGAAAAGGTTTTTAATGAGGCAGTATTGCACAAACAACTCATTTATCTTTTAAATTCTCATCTGTGGCTCTGTTTCTTATTTTGTTGGATTTGAGATTGCCTTAGTTTTTTACTTAGAAGTTAGAACAGTTGAGTGTTTTGATAGATTGTGCCTTTGTTTGAGTTGTGACTTATGAAATCTGATAAGTATTTGGTTAGTGAATCTTTTTGAGGGGTTTTGAGGTCACTGGGCCGTGGGCTGGCACGGCACGCAAGGTCGTGCTCAACGGGCCGGCACGACACGAATTGTGGCCTGTAGTGTCGTGCTTGGGCCGAAGGCCAGGCACGAGGCCCGGATAGGCATGGGCTGGGAGGCACGTGCCGTGTCGGGCCGACACTGCGGATCATGCCTGTCCCGTGCGGTGTCGAACCGGGCCGGCCCGTTGGCCAACTATAACCCCGGAGTCCTCACCCACTGGGAGCGCCCAACGCCCGCGGATTCGGTGGCCCTCTTCCTCTACCCCGACGAGATCCATGGAGGTGGCGCGGCAGTGTTGCAGGGGAGTGGGCGGGTTTTCCCTACCACGGCACGGCGCCCTCTCTCATCCTAGTGACCGAGCTCCCCCAACCCGGCGGTCAGAATCGATCGGCCAACCTTCCCCTCCCCTATGTTGCATATATATGTTAAGTGTTTCAGACTTTTTAGATGTATGTTGGATTTGTTTTATATGGATGTTGCAAAAGTAGATCGGAGAATGTTGCATATGTTGCAATTGAGGCATGTTGCAAGCGTATGTTTTGAGTGTTTCAGATGTTCCAGAGAAATGTTTCATCTGTGTTTTCCGGATGCATGTTGCAAGTGTGTTTATATGGATGTTACATATATTTTACACATACATTGCATGTGTTTTATTTGATGTTTGCGTATGGTTGCAATGGTTTTTAAGTGTTTTCAGGTGTTTTTTCAAGTGTTTCAGAAGCATGTTTCAAGTGTTTCAAGCCTTCAGACGTTGTTGCAACTATTGTGTATTTCAAAAGTAGATCGGGTGTTGCATTTCTCCTCCCCATCGTCTGCTGCATCGTCTCTCCCAGCGCCGACATGGCATCTATATGATGCTGCAGCCGTGTCCTTCTGAATCAGAGGCGTCGCATGCTCTTCCCCTCTTGTCGCTTCGGTGGCGCGGGCCCCACGTGGAGCGTGAAACGGAGTGTAGCGCGTGGGCGTCCGTCCGGGCGTCTGGATTCTAGCACTTTCTAAGAGTAAAACATTATGACTCTTTAGTTTGTACGTTATTGCCATACGGACATGGACTTGTCCAAGGATACACTAGGCCATATGAAGATGTTTTTGACTAACAAACTTGTATAATTTTGATTGGAGAAATTAGAAAATTTTGGTTGGACTGTTTTATTGTTACCATGAAAGGTGTTTGGGTCCTTGATAAAAGAAAACCTTATCCAAAACCAAACGGCTAAGAAATCCCTACTTCCCCTACAAACTAACTGGCCAAGCAAACTAAACAGAGAGCCTACGACCGACGCGGCCAAACCGAGATAAGAGCAAGATAATGTCGTCGACGGCGTTTAGCCACCTGTTCCCCTCCGCCGCCGTCGCCGCTGTATCCCTCCTCCCTGGCCGCGTCTCCCTGCAGCTCTTCTGCACCAGCGCTGAAGTTGCCCCTGGATGGAGAAGAAGAAGCTGCCGCATGGCCGTAGTGCGCGCGGCCACCGCGGAGGCGGCGGCGCCCGTCGACACCTCCGACTCCCTCATCCTCTACTTCAAGGCAGAGGGCACCATGGAGGAGAGGGCCATTCCCAAGATCACTGAGTCTCTTGAGGTCCGGCTTCGCTCTTTTTCCATCCTATTTTACTGCTAATTACCATTTTCTTTTCTTGCAAATTAGTTTGCAGAACTTAAATACTAAATCATAAATGAAGAAATATATCTTCTTTATTGAAGGGTATGGAAGGAGTCAAGGACCTAGAGGTGCTCATTGAAGAAGGCATAGCGAGTGTTGTGGTACGTCAGGTTTTCCTGCTGCCTGCCACTCGTTCGATTAGTGCTCCCACTAGGCACCAGTTAGTGCGCTTCATCTTTGTGCATTGGTTTTCCGTTGCACGTTGCGGCAGTTCAGCTCAAACTGTCCCTGCAACCATGTCGAGAAACAGTTTGATCTTTTCTCCTCACTTCGTGAGAAAGAGTTTAATCCGTAGTTAGAGGTGGAGCACATTTTCTAGAAACTTGAATATATATTATATATATATAGGAAGAAACAATCACCTGTAAAGAAGAAGCTTCTATTGAAGCCTCCAAGGTTAAATAGACACTAGAATCTTAGAGTTTTAACATTGCCAGCTGTTCAAAGCCTATTTTTAGGTTTAAATATTCTAAGCAAGATCTCTGAACCAGATTTCAAATCATGTTCTGCATATAGAACCTTGTTCAAGTATAAAAAACTAAAATACTAAATCACTTCAGTCTTCTTGCAAATGAAGTAATTGAACAACTTTATGTATTCAACATAGTCATTTTGCAAGACGCACACAACTTTATATGTATTCGAATTTCTCTGTCATTCATTTGTTATGTTGCTCGAAAATTGGATTTGTTTGGTTGGATGGCCATATACTTTACTGATTTGATGAGGATGGGAAACATCAAGACAAAGATTTTATCCATGTAAGACATTTGACTATTGTTTGAGCACATCGTTAAGATACAACAGCCATAGATGCAAAAATTAAATATAATTAAAATGGACCCTACCTTTTGACTGCTGACTGCCAATACACAAACTGTAGCAGCAAAACCTGTAGACATTGAAGAAATAGTAATCCCTGAGTAAAACTTGGCTGGAACTTCTTAAGTGACATGATTTCTTGGCTATTTATTTTCATAAGGAGTTCTCAGACTGTTGTGTTTCATTCCTATGTGAAGAATATATGTGAGCTCTGAATTAGAAAGGGCATGAAACCCGCAATTTGTAGGCACCACCTAGATCATGGGTAAACTAACAGCAAGTAAGTTGATGTACCGCTAAGGCGCTAACTGCTTCAGTGTTTCAATGAAATGAATTATGAATATTCTCTAAAAACAGTAGATGGCGTTCTCCTCTGTAATATCTCCAGTCAATTCTATGTCACATTTACAACGATTGTCTGATGTGCTTGAAGTACATTCTTGTTATTGGTTCTTTTTCAGTTAACAAAGGAGACAACTGTGCAAGCTACTGGAGTAGCCTCGAACCTAGTGGAAGCTATCCAGGGAGCTGGGTTCAAACTGCAAACACTAAGCTTGAGCTTGGACGATTTCGACGACGCAACAGCAGGAGCAGGAGGCAATGTCCAACCCAGCGAGTGAGCTAATTTGTGCTGCCGTGCGTAGTGCCAAATGCATATACTTCTGTCGGGTACTTTTACATTTTGTTTACCCCGTTGTTCCTTGCCTTTAATTTCCCGAGCACGTCCTTGTAATTTTTTGCAAACGGTGAAGAAATCAATGATTCTTTTCTAAAAACAACTTTTGATTATTTGATTCACCGGTGTTGTGTAAGTTTATCTTTGGAAGGTTAATCTTTTAGGTCGAAGTAGTTTAGCGTGTTTTTTTTTTTTGTAACAAGTTTAGCTTGTTTTTTTTAGGGTTTGAAGAAGTTTAGCTAGCCTAGACATTTTGGTTGATCCGTGAAGTTAGTCGTGGTGTTCTTTTGCCAGCGCTTCCAATCGTTGGGAATACTGGGCCGAAACTGCCTAATATCCTATCCTTGTTTGTTTTGGCTCAACATGCAATTGCCTGACGTTTGTTTATGGATCTTGGCCTGCTTAAGTGGCCCATTGGCATGCTTCGCCCATATCAATACTTGTGTGGAGTTGTTCTTGTCTGACGGCTGACGCGGCCAAAATTAAGGCAAAATTTGCTAGGAGACATAGTTAAAGTGTAGCTTTTGCCACAAACCACTAAAAAAGTTTGGCTTTGCCAAAAAATACTATAAATCCTTGCTAATATGCTATAAGACACTCAAGCCATTATTTTATCTGATTTTAATAGGCAGACACTGAAATGGCGAATATGCCCTTGCCCTTTTGCCTTAGAACCTGTTTGGCAGGGCTCCTTGCCCAGCGGCTCCGGCTCCCATTGCACTGTGCAACACTGTAGATCCCTGTAGCAGCGAAAAAAACGGCTCCGGCTCCGGCACAAATTAACGGGAAAAGAGGAGCCGGAGAAGCCTACAATTGGGTGCTCCGGCGGCTCCTCCACAGTGGTGCTACCGTAACCGGAGCCGCCGGAGCCTCTCCAAACAGGTCCTTAACCTTTCTCTTCTCCGCAGCTTCGTTCGCTGGCAGCCTCGCACGGAAAAAAGGACAAGAGGCCACGGCGGCGTGGCGCACCCTCTCCACCGCCGGCTGTGCCAGCAGTTTTCGGCAGCGGCGTCGTCCCGCGCGGCGAGCACTTGGCTGGGCGGCGCAAACGATGCGGCTGCGCGGTGAGCAGTCGAGCACGTACGCACGGCCGGACGGTGGGGATGCGGGCTTCGCGGCGAGCACGTGCCCGGGCGTGGCAGCGGCACGGCAAGCACGGGCGCATGCCCATGCGGCAAGGACGGGAGCGGGAACACATGGCCGGGCGCCGCGGCGGCACGACGGGCATGGGCGCACGCCTGGGCGGCGAGGGCAGACTCAATCTTCGCGGTGAGCATGCTGTCGGGCATCGCGAACGGTTTAGTGGTGTGGAGAGACCGTGGCTGGGAGGCAGGATCGGCGTGGCAGCGCGGAGCGGAGAGCATGGACGCACATCCGGGAGGCGAGGATGGACGCGGGCTTCCGGGCGAGTACGTGGCCAGACGTGTCGCGCGCGGCACGACGAGCGCATGCGCACGACCAGGCGGCAAGGACGGGAGCGGGCTTCGCGGCAAGTACGTGGCCGGGCGCCGCGACGGCACGACGAGCACGGGCGCACGCCCGGGCGGAGCAAGTGTCGCAACTCGCATGTGGACCCGTCACCCTGCTGCTGCTAGCAGCGCTCGCCTAGTATGGCCAGTGGGCGGCGCGGCGAGGTTTTGGTTCCAGGGCACCGGCGAGGCTTGGCTTGGGTCCTACAAAACTAGTAAAGGGCAGGGGTATTTTGTCCAAATTTATGTGTTTTGTGACCTATGTGAGATAAAAATGTTATTATATAAACTATAGTGTCTACCAGCAAATATACATGAAATTGTAATGGTTCTTGGCAAAGACAATTATTTCTGGTGGTTTGTGGCAAAAGCCACACTTTAACGATGTCTCCTGGCAAATTTTGCCCAAAATTAATCTAGAGAAAGAAGCAGAGCGAAGAACCCGGAATCTGTCTGTGAAGGTAGTTAGGCCGTGGTGGCACAGGCCAGATTTGTTTAGAATTAGTCCTGTTCATGGGCTGACACTGTCTTGGTTATCTATAGCTGTAATATCTAATCTATATCTATTTTTTTTTTCTAATACTAAAGAGTCAAAATTTTGCTGGCCTCCCCTGCATTCTTACACCATCCGCCCTAATCCTCAAGTTCATACCGTTCTGCACTCGTGATATACCCTAAAGCCCCAGCTTCAATGTGATGAACTCCCTTACGGAATTCAATAAGAAAAATCAAATAGAATACAGTAAGCCAATAAATTAAATACAAAATACGAATCATGCAATTTTCCGAGTCTAGATCAAGGCACAAGAGGAGTAGAGAACCAAATCAAGATCAGCACGAGTTAGATCGATACCAAATAGAAATTACATACCAAATCAAGACTATCATATACAAACCAGATCGAGACCAAATACGTAGCAAAACGAGGCCACCAACCATGTAGCCAAAAAAAATTGAGCACAAACGCCCACGGCCTCAGCCGACGTCGCCTGCCACAGTAACCTCGAGAGCGCACCAGTCCTGCGTCGTTGCTAGTCTCCTCACGGCCACTGCTTGCTGCGTCCCTAGGCCCGCTGCTCCCGCAAGCACAGATGTTTGTGTCGCTGCATCATCAGCATGAGCGAGCTCCGCCGCGCGCTGCCCTGCCCATACTGGTCCTGAGGAGCGGCCATGCTCGCCAGTCACAGCCATGAGGCCATCCGTCGGCACAGCGGGAGCCCCGCAAGCGCGTAAAGCACAGAGAGAGCAAGAATTCGCGGTAGGTTTTAATTTCTCACGCAAAAATTAGTTCAATTTCACACAAAAAAAAATGCAGAAACAGAGAATTTTTTCCGTGTTACAAACAGACCCTAATAATACATTCAGTTATCATAATCACGGTAGATTTTGTGAGAAAATCCCAACGTGCCAAGAGGAGGTGGCCCCACCTGCAGAGTCACATCAAGCCTTTAGAGGTGGGGCCATTCCTAACCAGTTAACCACGGGATATTACGAGGCACCCGCATTCCACCGCGCCGCGTCGTCTTCTTCCTTCCGCGTGGAGCGGAGTCGAACTGAAAACGGAAGTTACCGACCGCGCAGGTCGGAAACGCCAATTCCAATTCACCCGACACTGTAGACACACCGGCTCTGCTCCACGCGAGAATCCGAGGAGCGCTGCTAAGCTAAGCGCTCCTGCCCTTCGGATCCGGAAGTTGGAGGAGGGCGCGGAGGCGAGGCTTGCAAGGTCTCCCCTGCTGGCCGGCAGCGGGGGGTGGCGATGGCGCACCAGCGGGGCGCCGCCGCATCCACCCACGCCGCAGCTCCAACCTCCGAGGAAGACGCGCTGTGAGTCTGCTACCTGTGAACCCTAAGGTCTTAGTAGGCATGCCACCGGACGCTGCGACTGTGCATTTGGTGACCTTTGATCTGAAGCCCGCGGCAAATGGCAGCGCAATTTTGGTCCAGGTCGTTGATGATTAGGATTTTCGTGATGTTTGGTTTTTGTGCGGGGCGGGATCGGAAGTTTGGTGTCTCGCTGGGGCTTTGGCGTGTTGATGCCGCATGGTCCCGAGATTTGAGCTGCGGGATTCCATACGAGTGTAGTGAATACGAGAACAGAGTTGACATGGGATCAGAGCGGCCTGCTTGTGAGATTTGCGGTTATCACTAGGATGAGTGGTGGTTGCTTGTGTTATCTGTACTACAGTATTTGGGATGTTCGGCTAAGTTCTGTCAGGTTAACTTTGTAATGTGAAAGAAGGCAGGGGATTAATGTTCTAGCTGCAAGCATGCTACAGTTTGGTTGTTTGGTGTTTCATTTTTGAAAATCTTGTAGGATTTTGGCCGTTTTTTTAATTCATATCCATAACCTCTAGTTTGACTGAAGCATAGTTCCTGAAAGAATTCACATAGCTGGACATTCCTTGAACCAGGAACTTTGTGACTATAGACTGAAGTTCTATACTAACGCATTTATTTATTTGCTAAATTTGTGTTAAAGCTGATGGGAAAGTTAATTTTGAAGCATGTGAAATTCTTCTGTTATCTAGGTTTATTGATTTACTACATGAAGCGCCCCTGTCGGGTCACCGGGAGCCTAGAAGCATAGTTGGTGGGACCTTGTACTGTATCTTATTGGTAAGTAGAAGTTTCTTACCCATGTTATATCGTGCCTAACAGAACATCATCTCATATAAATAATTCTGTTTCGTGAATTATACAGAAGAACCAAAACATTGTGCAATTTGTCATCTCCATGTGGCTGTTGTTGGATATTGACAAGACATTGCTTTACTCCTATATTCATTTTATATGATAGCTACATTTTATTTATCTTTCTGTAGGTAGGTTTTGCTGCTGTTGCCATTTCAGCTCCATGGATATTTCTCTTCGCGCCAGATATGATCTCTCCATTGCTATGCAGCTCCAATGCTATCCTTCTCGTTCTTACAGGTTTTCTTTTTCTGTACCTGCTTCCTTTGGGTATTCTATCAACTATTTATTTGTTTCACATTATGTTTCTGTCTGTGAAGAATGGTTCACATGAAATTCAATGCAGGATTTTTTCAACAATATTGGGTTCACCAGGTCAGGAAAGTGAGATTGCAGGTATTACCACTCAAAAGGGTGTTTGACTTTGTTTTGTTTCAATCATATCTCATGCAATGGAGTCAATGCATTAGTTGTAATAATTGATTTTATCAGATTTAGTATATGCATTTTGGTGAAGAATATATTTTCAAATTAATTAATGTGTTCTACTTTTACATGCAGGGCTATTACGATTTTAGCCAGAAACTGAAGCGTATTGCTCGACTTCCATTTGCTACTATTGCTTGTGGTGAGAATCACCAACAAATCTATGTGATGCTCTAGTGCTAGCATTTATCATTATTTTCTTTTGCTTATTACAAACATCAGCCACTTTGTGAACAGCCACTTCCTTTTGTTGATAAGGTATTAGGATGATCTTCTTCATTATTCATTTTCACTT